TTTTTTTTTTCTTTTTTTTTTTGTGTGGTTGCATTCAAAGGGACGCTGGACCCGCGCCTTCTGCCTTCTTTTTTTTTTTTTTAAAAAAAAAAAAAGAGAAGGTTCCATTTTTATTATATAAGCTGGGAAGCGGGCCCAGCATCCCTCACATATATAGCTGCAGCCACAGGGATGAGCCAGGCACTCCGGCCAGGCTTAACCCCACCGCAGCAAAACTGAAACCGTCTTATGAACCTACATTCCCTATTTATCTCTGTACTGAGACTGGAAGATGCCCCAAAAAATACAGATATAATGACCGTACGTTGTATTCGGGGGAAGAATATAGAATATATAGCTACTTGTACTACATAACTTGAGAGAGGAAGTGCACCTTGACGCCGACCTAACTGCATCTATGACCTTTTTTTTTTTTTTTTTTTTTTTTTTTAAAAGCAGAAAGACCCAGTAGCAGCTGCTAGAGCGGGCAGTAGGAGCAGTCCCCGCTCTATCCTTCTTCATCCGAGTACAACGTACGGTCATTATTGCTGTATCTAGACTGGAATTAGCCCAAATACAGCTATAATGACCGTACGTTGTATTCGGGGGAAGAAGCTAGACGGCGCGCTTTGACTATAGCTCTCACCGAGATGAATCGCCAGCTACGCAAGCCAACTGCTACCGTCTTCACCCGAATAGAACGCCCGGTCATTAGAGCTGTATTTGGGCCAACTTCCAGTCTAAATACAGCGATAATGACCGCGCGTTCTATTCGGGTGAAGACGGTAGGGTTTTAGCTCCTTTCGCTATGCTATACTTGCAGGCATGAGTCTTATTAGAGTATAGCACACACAGAAAGCACCTATAGTATAGCATAACTATAGCGAAGGGAGCTAAAGAGTATAGCACACACAGAATGCACAGGTAGCTATAACGAACGAGTTGTTGGCGACCTATAGAGTATAGCACACACAGAAAGCACCTTTCGTTATAGCTACCTGTGCATCAATAGCTTGAGGAAGCAAGGGTAGCTATAGCTTGAGGAAGCAAGGGTAGCTATAGCTGCGGGTCCGACCTAACTGCAGAGCTATGACGACAACTATATCACTGAACTGAACGGGCAGCTATGCTGGCCTATAGGTAGGGCTCTACTTGCTTAGTCAGATGCAAGGATATAGCACAATAGAAAGCACCTTTGGCTATGGCTACCTCCATGTCAATAGCTTGGGCAAGCAAGTGGGATATAGCACAATAGAAAGCAGCTTTGGCTATGGCTACCTCCATGTCAATAGCTTGCGCAAGCAAGTGCACCTAGGACTATGGCTGCCACTTAACAGCACCAATGACTATAGCTCTAGGTGAACTGCATGCACAGCGATGACTATAGCTGCGTTTCTTCTGGTACCGTCTTCACCCGAACAGAACGCCCGGTGGGGTCATTATAGCCGCGTATCTGGGACAGTTTTCTGTCTAGATGCAGCGATAATGACCGGGCGTTCTATTCGGGTGAAGACGGTCGTTGCACGGACGACTTAGGCTGTCAGCTATCAGCTTTATAGCGCACAGACAGCAAGCGCACCCTATGCCTATAGCCTATGGCTCCGACGTCAACTGCAACTCCGACCCCCGAACACAACGCACCCTCATTTTGCCTGCACGGGGCCAGCAAGATGGCTTGTATACATTCATGATCAGGGTGCATTCTGTTCCGGGGTGGAAGACGAACTATGCTCTGGCTACCGTCTTCCCCCCTCCCCCTCCCGAACATAACGGCACCCTCATTTTGCCTGCACCGGGCCGGCAAGATGGCTTGTATACATGTTATTTATGAGGCTGCGTTCTTTTCTGGGCTGGAAGACGAACTATGCTCTCTGGCTATCGTCTTTCCCTCCCGAACATAAC